GTGTTCTTGATTTCGATTCCGACAAAATTTTTTCGATTTGAAAAGTTTTCACTTTGCCTAGTCGGAATGAAAAGTAATTGGCTAATTAAACCCAAATATATATGCTGTTTGTCAGCCAATTATTTTCTTTTGAATTTTCATAATATTGAGAGATTTTATAAGTCGTTATTGCTTTAATATGTATTCAAATACTTTGATAAATCTCTATCTTAAAATTGCTCTTTAAAAATTACTTAGCCAAACAAAGCGAAATCGATCGTAATGAAACGGACCTGTTCTTGATTCCGCTCCAGCGCATGCGCAGTATTCTTCGAAAAGTTCCATATTGCCATGCTTCATAAATAATATTCGAACATACATTTTTATGTTCTTGGCATTTATTCGTGCTTTAACATTCGTTCGAGAGTTAGCAAATATTTGGAAAACATTTCAGAAATACGTTGGTGCTTTTAAATTAATGCATTTTGTAAAAATAGTTTGTTTCAATGCAGTTTTTATACAGAATCTGCGAATGGTGGTAACCCCTAACAATAGAATCATCGTAATCAGCTGATTGTATTTGTAAACAAACTAAATACTTATTTCGAAGCAATAAGAAAGGAAGGAGCGCAATGTAAGTAAGCAAGTTATTCATTTTATTATTGTTAATGATTTATGTATTTATATTTTAGGGGAAAGAAACGAAACGCAAAGCAGGAAGAGATTATGCTCTCCTTTATGCAGCAAAATGAAGGAATTGCTAAAGGTTATTCGAAAGGCGACAGGGTTCTGATTGAAGCGAAATGGGCAGAACTAACCAGCTCCCTCAATGCTGTCGGTCCGCCCTGCAAGGATTTGGGTGGGTGGAAGAAGGTATGTCTTACTTACGTAGATACATTTTCGTACTTTGTTTCACAGTGATTTAATTACAGTCTTGGGTGGATTGGAAGGCCACTATCAAGAAAAAGCTGGCAAGCAACCGCCGAGAAAACATGGCCACTGGTGGCGGCCCATATTCGCAGCAGGTTATTTCCCCCACTGAAGAAGCAGTTGCGGTGGTTTGCAACCTTTACAGGGCTGTAGAAGGTATTAGGGGCGCAAATACTTTTGGCCACGCTTCAGTCCAAAGCGTAGTTGTCGGCGAGGAGGCCACCGACCTTGCTGCTGAAAATGTTGGCGATGAAAGCAACACAAGCTTTATAGAAGTGATTGACGATACAATCGAAGCCACTGGGCCACAAAGCACATCAAGGCAGCGTCGACATTCAACTGACGCATTCGAAGTGGTTTGCATTGAGCAAAACAGTATACTAAACCGTATTGCCAATGTATTGGACGAAGTGCTGGTGCAGAAGAAAAACGAGTTCAAAGTAATGGAGGAAAAAGAACAGGAGAGGAAAAGACACTATCAAAGAATGGAAGAAATAGAGCAGGAGAAATTGGAAACGCTAAAGAAGTTTCTATAATGCAAAGTTAAAGTTGTGAAAAATATCATATGTTGCTGTGAATCTGTGTTCATTAAATATAAGTGATGTGTATAAACGTGTGTAGATGTAGCAAATTTCCCAGCGAAAATTCAAAATAATTCCTAGTGGTAACTAATTATTGAAGGAATTACGATTACTTTTAACTATGCATTTCTGGTAACGCAAAATGGTATATAAGGCATTACCACCTATAATAAGATAATATTGAAGTAATATATTTCTGAAACTAAAGTTATTGCCGAATATTGCTGATGAGCTTATCATATGTAGGTGTTAATGCCGTGCATACCATTTTGCATTGCCAGAAATGCATAGTTAAAAGTAATCGTAATTCCTTCAATAATTAGTTACCACTAGGAATTATTTTGAATTTTCGCTGAGAAGTTTTGCTACATGTAGGTTTTCATATACATATATACAGTTGCGCTCACGTAAATAGCACACCTGTATTCACAATGTTTTGCGTAATAAATTTTGTTCGTTATTTATTTATAAAAATATAGAAGATTCTAAGTATAAAACTCTGAGCACAATTCAGGAAAATGAAACAAATCTCAAAGTTTTTCTACTTTAGAAACTTATTGGGTATGCAGTTTTGTAGCCCATTCAATTTTAGAATACTAATGTACAGGTTTGAAAATTCTGAAAAATAAATAATAAATAAATAACGAACAAAATTTATAACGCAAAACATTGTCAATATTGTAAGAAATAAAAGTGTGCTTTTTACGTGAGCGCCTATGTACATATACATACATATACAGTTACTCAAAAATTTTTTATTTGATTTTTACACGACATTGAAAATGTTTTTCATGGTAAATTTTTGTTTTTAAACATTTTATAAAAAATAGTTAATTTGATAACAAAACTATGAACTAAAATTAAACTTTTTGAAAAAAGAATTAACAAAACAATTTTCCAAGGAAAACATTTTCAATGTGGTAAAACAAATTTATCAAAATACTTTCTTTACTACCTACCTGTATGTATTTCTAGAAATTTCTATCAAAAACGTCCAAATTTGTGTGTATTTTATTTTTTTACTCTGTCCAAAGACTGAAACTTGAATTAATCTGATTTTTGTTAGAGACCTAACAATGTTTTAAATAAAATACCAAAACTTGTCAATACGATTAACAGCTATTATTTTACCGGCCAGCATTTGAAAATACCATTACTAACAAATATGGGAAACATTGCGAGTATTTAAAAAAAATTTTCTTTGTTAAATTTTGTCAGCAAGGGTAACTCAACAATTTACATTTGAAACTTGCACATGGTTATATTGAAATTTAATGGGGTACAAAACTGCATACTCAAAACTTCTCTAAAAAACTTAAATAAAAAGTATGCAAATGTATTGAATTTTCCTGATTTGTGCACAAAGTTTAGAGATGTTATTTTTATAATTTTGTAGTAGTATGAGCTATACTTTTGTAAAAAATAGGCGAAAAGAAATTTGAGTCAAAAACTTTTGAAAAATTCTCTGAACGTAGACTTTTGTCGCCTACTGTAAGTCGCTCACAGAAGTTTTCGTAATTTAGTTTTACCACATTATTCACAATATTTTGCATCATAAATCTTCTTCGTTAATTTTTATTTAAAATATACCTCATTCTATAACAAAAACCATATAAATCA